CTCGGCCAGAACCAGCAAACGACACTCCAGGCCACGTGTTTCGCTCCAGGTAAGAGAACGACGTCGGCCGAGCCGCGAGGAGAAAACTTTTCCACGGTGCGCGCCGCTCTTCTCCGCGAACCGAGCCGCGTTTTCCGTTTCCCCTTGATCGGCTCACGGTTTACGTAACCACAATTTAGAGGCTGCAACCGTGCACCACCGATCTATCCTATTCGTTCCTTCGAGGAGTTCCGAGAAGCCTGTCGACGATTGCGCAACCGATTAGGAATTTCGCGGGTAGAACAACGACGCGCTGGGGTATCTGCCCGGTCCGAGCGGCTGAAATTAAAAACAGGTTTATACCGAGGTGTTGTAATAGAATATACGCCAGTGTAACATGATCGTGTGTAATGATATGCAATTATAGGGCATGTAACGATACATTTGTTCGTATAAGTTATATGTAATTTCATATATATATTTCATTGGAAGTTATGTGTTTGTATATGACATATTGCATGATACGATGTGTAATACGTAGGAAGGAAACGTCGATGGTGTGCTAGTTACATCTACGTACGGATATTCACGTACAGATTCATGGTAAAAAGGCAATGAACTGTTAAAGAGTACACACTTGAAAACCATTGAATCCAACCGTAAAACGAATAAAAACTGACCGACTTTCGCGAAAGTTCAGCACTTTCCACGGTGCATCAAGGATGACTCATCAGGACATTGTTCCCCTATATTCAATTATCTCAAACAACAACAGTTTTACAACTTAGATAAAACTCTGAACAATAGCCTTTAGCCGCCTAGATCGTGCGGATACCGCACCGCGCGACGTCCGCCCGATTTTTGGCCAATTTCGGGTGCGAACGGAGCGATGCGGGTCGACGAGACCGAAAGGCGAGCGTGAATGCGAACGGCGATCCGTCGTTTCGGCGAATCGGCCGGCCAGTTAACGACACGATTGCCGTCGCGACGGATCTGCGTTCGATTATTCGCGACGCGAGGCCCGAGCCGTCTCGGTCGTCTCCTCGAGGTCTCACCGTTTCGTCGCGCGCGTCTTCGACCTCCGCCGCGATAATTACTTCCTCCGCGGCGGAACAATGGGTTCTCGCGCATTGTCGGCTCAGCGATGCGTTCGTCGTCTGGTGGCCGCGAGAGCTCGTCCCACGACTTCGATCGCTTCACGCGGGACGCACGACGGTTGCGCGTGTTCCGTCTTTCTTTTCGCGTGGAACTCGGGCTCGTTCAGCCGTTACGCTGTTTCTCCGAACAACAATGAACACGCCAGCCATCCGATCTATCGCCGGCGATTACGTTCCTCCACTTGTCGGCTCGCCGGTGCGCGC